AATGTTTGGAGTTCATTCAGGAAAAAGGTCCTTGGGGTTAAGCAGCTATTGCTGTTGGATGCGCCAAATTCGTCTGCATCTACTAAAAGAATGAAACCGATAAAAGGGACTTATTTGAAGGAACTCGATTACCAACTGTTTGTATTCAGATACTCAGATTGCTGAAATAATGTGAAAATTCTTAACAAGCTCTGCAGTTGTTCTTAAAATGGAACTTAGATAAATAATATGCAGTTCCTGTTCAAAGTTTTGCATGTTTGATCTTTTTTCTCCAAAATTCACAGCAATAAAATATTTTATTAATAGAGTTTTTACTACTTTTTTTTCCTTTTTTTTTTCAGAATCCTCTATTGTTACTTTTATCACCTATCCTATTAATCCTTCAGGCAAGATTTTATTAATGTTACACTTATTTAGATTTAGTTATATTTAGATTTTTTTTTAGATTTGTATTTTATTTTTATTGGTTTTACTTATTTTAATTTTTCTTCTTCAGATATGACTTCAGAGGAGACTACACAAACTGCAGGTGAGAATTAGCATGGAAAGAATAAGGTCTGAAACGAGATGTTTGTTGCATTCATGAAAGTTTACCTTTTTTTTTTTTTTTAAATAACTGGGATTTGTTTAGTCCATAATTCTTTTCTTACATGATCTTAAAATTTCCAGTCTGTATTTTAAGTATCCATGGGTGGGGTTTTGAAGCACATTTAACTGACACTGAGCTGTTAACCTTTTCTTTTTATTCAAAATAATACATTACATACAGTTTTTGGGGTGTGTGTGTGTATATATATAGACAGAATGTTTTCTATGGTTTCTGATACTATTTAAAGTATCTTACAGAACTAAAATGTACACTGCATGCTTTAAAGACACTTACAGGATACATGTTCTTGCAATGAGTTGCCAAATAGGATCAGTAAGGACTCAACCAGAAGAACTTGCTACCCCTTTTTATCGTGGTGTTTGACTTTGAAAAACAAGGAGTAGGTTCATCCTGTATCTGTACAGTTGCCTACATATGTGTACATGAGCTGGACATCCTGCTAGTCTTCAGAGTTGATGGACAGAAAGACACGTTTTTAGAACATAACACGTTATGTGGAAGTGCCCATGTAGAGTAGGATAAATGGGAATCTCACCTTAAGAACACCACTTTCTCCACTGAAAATGGGGAGCCTCGAGTAACTGGCTCCTATGGGGACATAAACATTTGATTGGACGGATCTCACTCTGAATGCTGCTTTTCTTATTTACCATGCTGAAAGTAAATAAATTCCTTTATAAATAGTCATGTGTTTACAGTTCTGCGGGGAAGACAATTTCCTAATGTCTCCTTTAGTCTCTTATTTTTGTGCCATGTACTTCATAGGCTTTTGAAGTTAAAATGTGAAAACTTAATTTTAAAACTTTTTTTTTTTAACCAGAAACTCTTAACATCTCTGATTATTACTCCACCATAGCACCAGGTAGGATTCATATATCACCACTGATCTTTTATGCTTCTCAAAGTGTGTGTGACTTCAGGAAGTCTGTTCCCAAATATTTTTAATAGGATCTTTTTTCTTGGAATTACCATGTGTCATATTAGCAGTCCGCCTTACTTCACATCGATCTCCAGTCTGGTAGAAGGTCTAATTCTGCAATGCTTGCCTCAATGGCCACGTATAGAAGAATTTGGTTATTTTCCAAGTCAGAGCAGCAGGTTACCAAAAGGTGTAAGAAACACAGTCTCAGGGACTGTAAAAAAAAAAATGCTCAGGCTTTTTAGTAGATTGAAGCAACTGAATCCAGTCAGTATGTTCTCAGGGTGGGTCCACTCTATAGGAGTAGGCTGAATTTATTTTTTTTTTGTTACCCATCTAGGAGCCTAGTAGACCAGTTAGGATGTGTTTGCGCTGAACTGGCTTGGAGCCATACTGGCTAGTGTAATTTGACTGTGTGAATGTGACCTGCAGAAAGTTTACAGCTGTATAGATCTGTGATGATTTTGGGGGGCTGGAAGCGCTAGTGATTTTGGATCAGCCTTTTATCCTCCACACTGCTTATCTATTTTGTGCCTTTTGTTGGCATGCAGAGATCCTAAGCAAGATGAAGTGGCATGCAAGTGGGTGCTCTGTAAAGGAAGAGAGGCTGATGTTACTCGTGTTGCATGTTATGCAGTTAATAATTTTGACAAATTCAGTTATTTATGAGCACTGTATTTCTTTAAGGATTGTTTAAAAGAAAAAAGTGCTGATACAATTTTCATAACTGTTTCACTGACAACTGTCAACACAAAAGGAAAGGAAAATTTATTGAATCTAAATTGCTGTCTGAAAAAAATACTTTTTCTAATAATTTGCATATTGCCACCAGCTTACAATTCGTGCCCTCTGATGGCTTTGTATTCATAGTGAGAAAATTCATGAAGCATCAGGTTATAACAGGCTAACATTTGTACCACAAAAAAGTAAAACAACCAACCAACCAAAAACCCCAAACAAACAAAACCCCACCCCAAAACAATCTCATTTAATACTGGCTAATGATAACAGCATGAAAATGGCATATTTTTTTCCTCTTAATAGGGGTAAATCTGGCTGCTTAAGTAAGGAAAGTTGTGTTGCCACATTGTTTTTATGATCAAGTGTGGGAATTTTGTCTTGGATGCAAGCATCTTTCCAGTCCTTTATTTTGATTTTGTACAACAGAGCCATTTGTTTACAGTGCCTTTAATTTGGAATCAGTATTAATACTTTACAGTGTAGGTAGTATTAAAAATACAGCAGCAACCAGAAGTTTGCTGTGAGTATCTAAAGGTGTGTTCCGCTAGATGAGCATGCACGTTTGCTGTTAGCAGTTTGAATTCTATCAGGTAGAATGGTTTTAGATTCATGCTATCACAAGTAGCTGTAGTAGGATTCTCAGAAGCAGATAATATGCTACTTAGTGATTAAATACTGTGATATTTGAAGAGCTTATTTATGATATGCATGGATTAAAAAAAAAATTAAATTAGAGACCACTTGCATGTAGGTCTTCTGTGGAAGTGTAAAAAAATTAATTGATCAAAACCAGCCTGTTCCACTCTGAATACTGCTTCTTGGAAAATGTAATGGTAAGTGCCCTAGAGAAGTGAAGTCTAGAGAGGGTGTGAAATATTTCTAAAAGGAAATAACCCTTACATTTAAAACATTGAAATGATTGTAAATATGTATGTTTGTCAGTACTGGGTTAAAGTTCAACTTTTTTACTCACTAGATTTTTTTTTTCCCACCCCCCAAAAAGCTATAGCAGGAGAAACGATTTTATGCAACATAACAACCGTCTGTAATTTTTCAGGTTAGTGGGATATTTTTTTTTTTTTATGAAAAGCATGTCCAACTATTTTCTTTTCTGTGTAATGAGACAACTGAGTTCCTATGTAAAAGCTAGCTCTGTAATAAATTTTCTTGTGAATTTAGAGAGATTTTGTATAATTTCTAAAAGATTAATGTGAAATGTGGGGGGTTTATTTAAAAGTCATATTTATTCTACTGTATTTTTGATATTTCTTTCTTTATCAAAGGATACACAGTTGCGGATAAGAATTACAAACCTGAGAAAACAAGAAACAAGTGTGCTTTGGTAGACGCTAATGTCTGCCACGCTGAGCCTAACTCTGTCAGGAATAGAAGTTGAAATAGTGTTTAGAAGAATTGTAAAAGCCTGTGTGTATTATAAAAGTGTAATGTGCCAGAACAGACAAACAAAGGAAAACGGAATGGGCAGTGATGTTCCCTTTATGCGTGTTAACAAAAACATGATAAATGAGTTTTTGTTGATCCCTGTTGCTGCCTTCCAAAGCACTTGGCTAAATGGCTTCTGTGAGAAATATTTAAGAAAATGAAGTCACTTCTGCCAAGCAGCCATATGCTGAGTACTTTATAGATTAGAAGGAGGCAGAATGAGTAAGTCCCCACCTCCCTTTCCCTGCCCCTAAAGCTCCCCTGCTGGTTGCCACAGTAAACTGCTAGATGATTTGGGTGATGCCATGTATGCATTCATGTACAGGTCTTCCCTATAGCCTACACTGAATGTGTAGCTGCAGGAAGAGACGTGTCATAAAAGTTCCTCTTTGTCTCCAAAATGAGTCTACCCCCCTCAAGGACTATTGAATGATGCTCTGAATTAATGTGTCCTGAAAGTTCTTTAATCTGCAAGGGAATAATTTTCAGGGTGTCACTTTGCCTTTGCCCCTAGATTTCATTCTTGTGGTGGGAGTTGGAGTTGTATTAATAGTAATGTGCAGCGCAGTTTTTCTGTTTTGGGGGAAGAAGAAAGAGGAAAACAAAAAACACCACAAAATGAAACAAAACCAAAACCTAGAAGGAATTTTGAGATAGTCAGCAAAAATAAATATACACAAAATAACGAAGCTGTTGGATTTGTGGAAATAGGAAGGGAAGAGATGGAAGAACAATTGCAAAAATAGTGAATAATCAGAAAAGCTAGTGTAAGTATTCTTATTTCTCTTCTACTGTAACACAAGACAGTGAACTTTTCAATTTTCAAATAATTTTTACATCGTGGTTTACCATTGACTTTTTTTTAACTTTTTTGCCTTTTGGTTTTAGTGTTCTATGTGGGCAAGGCTAAACTTCAGGCAAGTGAAGAAAGCAACACGTCACTAAATGTAGAAATAGTAAGTGTTCTCTCTTTTAAAACTTTACTGTAAGGAAGATTGAAATTAGTTTCTTTGTCTACACTTAAAATACTGCTACCCTAACATGATTCTCATTATGTTTTTTGTAGTTTTAGATCAAATACGGTTTGCATTTCAAATACAGTACAAATTAATTTGTGCAGTGGATGGATCTACTCTCTCTCTCTTAAACAGCTGCTTTGCAGTTAAATTTTAGAATTCCAGCTAAGTAAAATTCCTACTGTTCTCTGTTTTTTGGCATGTGGTTAATTGGTTATTAATTTTGCAGTAGGCCTCTGTGACACAAGTGGGTCCACTTATTCAATACGATAGAGGTTTAAGAGAATGGTATCATGCAAAACAAGGACCATATAGATTATTCAGTGTTGAGATAATCCTATGAGGATGAGAATGTTTAGTTGTTGTAGATGGAAAACTGAAGAGAGGGGTAAAAAAAAAAGGACATTAACTTGTAAAGGAGCTTGTATCTTTCTCCTACACATCCCTGTCTGCACTCAGTCTGAGATTTCACATGCCAGTCTGCAGGCATGACAGTAGTCAGCAAAATCACTGCAGAGATCCACTGCTCAGGTGCACATGGAGCATTGAGTTTGGGCAGGGGTAGGCCCCTGGCAAAACCCACCTCTGCATTGTGTAGTGTTTCAGTGGTGATAATGCCTACTGAAACAGCCGTAGTGTAATAACATTGTGCACAGCTATTAGAAAAATGAGTTTCCTGTCTCATGAAACTCGTATTTAGCAGAATTATTCTTAGGTAATGTCAATAACATACATGTTAGATGATGTTTTCATCATGGTACTCGCTGCTTGTATGAAATGTAGAAATAACTGGTGATGGTAGCAACCAGAAGAATATAAGAATGCAGGTCTATAAAGGGCCTTTAGATAAACCTTAGTGTATCCCCTGGCCCTCAGATCTTATATTTAGATCATTCCCAGGTTTCAGGATTGGGGCCTACAAGAAAGCTGAAGGGGGACTTTTTACAAGGGCCTGTAGTGACAGGACAAGGGGTAAGGAGTTTAAATTGAAAGTGGGGACATTTAAATTGGTTACAAGGAAGAAATTCTTTACGGTGAGGCACTGGAACAGGTTGCCCAGAGAAGCTGTGGATGCCCCATCCCTGGAAGTGTTCAAGGCCAGGCTGGATGGGGCTCTGAGCAACCTGGTCTAGTGGAAGGGGTCCCTGCCCATGGCAGGGGGGGTGGAACTCGATGGTCTTTAAGGTCCCTCCCAACCCAGATCATTCCGTGATTTGACGTTTCTGTTACTTAGGTCTATGATGGAGGTTGTCCCATTGCTGTGCTTTGAGTCAGAAAGTTTGTTCAGTGTCTAGCGTAAGCTGTCTTTGTTGCAAACTAACCCAAATCCCTCTTTTTCCAACGTGAGATCACGATCCTCTTGCCCATGTCTTTCACAAATCAGATTCTGTAATTCAGTGAGCCAATTCCTTCCATAAGTTGTGACAACAATGTCATGGTAAATATTCGTTGAAGTGTATTCATGAGAAAATTTGCTTCTTACCTTTGGAATTTCAGGTTGTTAAAATGTGTGAAATGAAGAGAAGTTTCTTTTAAGGGTAAAAGTTACTGGTATTCATTAGCTGTGAAATCTTTGTTTCTAACAGATTAATAACATAACCATGAACAATCAAGTTACGAAATTGATTGCAATTCCAGCGCCTACCACACAAGAATTGAGGTAAGTAATTTAAAATAAAGTTTGAAATTTTTGTTATTTTTTAAAAAGATGAAGTGACACTTTCTATGTGGTTAGCAGACCCTTCACTTTGCATTATTCCTGTACTTCACAAATTAAAATTTCAGGAAATGTAAGTTACTGTTCTTTTACATAAAGCTGGTTAGGATAGTCTTAGTTTTGTTTGAGATACCACTGAAGTTTGTTTGAAGAAACAGTGCTCTTGCTGTCTTCCTTTTAGGTCCTTTAGTTTCCTTGGGGCCAGAGGCCTTGTTCTTTATATGTGATGTGTATTAATAATAGTAGTCATAAAAATAATTATAAGAACATGATTGTAATTTTAGAATAATTTCATAATGTCTAATAAATATTTATATTATAATGTAATTATAATAATACCTGAGGACATGAGCTGTGGATTGTTGAGAATGCCGGTCTGCTGCTCTTCATGAATAAATTTCTTTAATAATTTCAGGGATTTGGGCTCTCTCTTAGGAAACTACTAAGAGATCTTCCATAGCAACATGTTTTTTAATATGTACTCTTGCAGTCATACCTATGTTTTTATTTTGGTGTAGTTTCTTCTTTCAGTGTCTTTATAAGGAGAGGTTTGAATGAGTGAATATTTACTGCATTTCCCAAAGCTTACTCTGAAATTCAAAAATATCTAATTGACTGACAGGTCTTGTTTGTAGATGAAATCCCTATTTCTTACTCATTCTGTTTCTGTGGCTTTGAGTATATATTCAGAATTCTATTCCAAATGTTTGTTTCCAAAAGACAACATTACTATTTATCTTTTGAACAACCTTTAAAGAAGTAGATTCATGTTAAAAGATGTGATGACAGATGTTTAAAATTGCTTTATGGAAGGACTAATAAAAGGCAACTTTAAAAATGTTTAATCCTTTGAAAAATGGTTTTACAATATTAGAACTGACATGATTTTAAAAAATAACCGATCGGCTGGAAAATATGGGATTTCCAGTAATTGCTTGTTCTTTTCATTATGGTGCTGTAATTGTCTTTAGAAACATATGTAAAAAACCTCCATAAAGGTAACTTTTTATTTTAAAGAATTTCAGAGTTCAACAAGACCTTACAAGCCCTAAGTGAGGTAAGATTACTCATTGTTGTTGCTGTTTGGAAAACATTTTTTCCAACTTATTTCTCATAATGTCATTATCTAAGTATCAATCCTGTTTTCTCCTGATGAAACAATTAATTTTTTTTTTTTTTTTAATTTTCATTTGTCATTACAGTCTTCTGTTATGGAATGCAGTATGGAAAACCAGAGGTTTGTTGTTAATTTTTAAAAGGTTCATATATATAAAAACATATATTGTCTTCTGATACATCAAGTATGAATGGCTATGTAACAGAAGAAAACAAGCTTTCTAGGAAGTTAAGCTTGAGAAACAGGCTGGAGTAGTATATGCAGACTAACAAATTTTGATCACATTATTCTCCTAGCATTAGAGTTTGGGGGGGGAGGGGGTGTTAGATTTTTTTTTTTTTTTTCTTAACCAAACTGTGTTGCTTTCCATTAATCTTCTGGTGAAGCACAGGCTTTCCTGTCATATTTCTTCTGCATCTTTGTATTACCCAAGTCACATAACAGTTTAACTACTAAGGGTATGGGATTGAGGGCCACCAAACTTCCAGTGCTTATGAATACAATGCAGTCTTTATGAGGGAATTGCTTCAGACATCCCAAGTTGCTGTTCTTCGGCTTGGGAAATCACCCATTCTCAGGGTACGGGAAGCATGAGAAGGAAACCAGTTCAGAGCTTAGAAGCCACGCGATATCAGAATGGCAAGGCTGCTCCACAGAGGTGATCCTGGAAACCCTGAAATGTAGATAATGTCTGTCAATTTAATTGCTACTCACCACTCACTTGTTGATCCTTTAAACTGATCATCTTGGAAACACTACATTCTAAAACAAAATTTGGAACTTCGTTTCCCCAAATACGTGAATTTGGTGATTATCATCCTGGTTTAGGATGAAGGAAAATTCCAGACCACTGAAATAGTAATAGACATAAAGTCAAATCACATCTTCGTGTCACATACTGGCAGTAGTTGTGGTACTCTTCATTCTTGTTAGCTGGAAAGAAGCTTCACTTCATCTTTTACGTGTTGCCTTTTCCGTCACGCATGTGTTTGAGTTTGCTGAACATGAAGAATTCTTACTGTAGGTTTGGTGGTTTAGGCAGGGCCTCGTGTCATCAAACCATAATTGTAAATGTGTAGTTACATGCTTAAATGAGTCATTTAAGCTCTCTCTAAAGTCAAGAGAGAACACTGGCTTTCCCCAGGTGATGGGGATTTCATATACACTGACATAGCCACCTAGGACACTTGCTAGTTTCTCTCTGGAGTTTCCTTACAGTAACAGTGGAGATTACGTTATTGTCTTCATAAAATTATCAACTCTTTAATGGCTAACTTTAATTAGGGAGGTCCACATTTAAGATTCACCAGTGTCTGTAGAGAAAAGATAAAATAAGCTGTCACAAACTGATGTATTAGTCTTCTTTTTCAGTCTGGCATAGCGTTTTATGTGCATTAAAGATATCCCCAAATCTGAAAAGCCTGGGGAAAATGTGCTTTCTCACTGAGCATTTGTGCTGATGTGCTTTCACTTAGCATTTGATGTTAGTTTCATGCATTGCAAAGATGAGCCAGACCTGTTTCTTCTCCTTATAGTATACACTGCAATTTCATAATGAAGCTGGCTGAGAGAGCGAATATAAGCAGTTTAACAGAAAAAGCAGAAATAAGCCCACTTGGTAAGTTACGTTTTAAACAGGGTCTCATCACAGTTACAATTTCAGATTACATTTTATGTCTTTACAGGTGACCTCCAAGCAGCTGAAAGAAAAGATTGGTTTATACTTTCAGATAAGAATGATTGTGTGGTGAACAATATAAATGTGTCAAAAATGCAGCCTTCTGTTTTTTGGGTGGGGAGGGGGAAGATAAAGAGGTGTTTAAAAAACTTTGGTACCAAATTGCTGGCTACAACAATAAAGCAGACTTTGAAAGGATTAGGTGCAAAATTATTTGAGAACATAAATGTGATACTGAAAGGGTGATCTGGATTGAAAAGTTTTTGAAGTAGCCAGGCTTTCTGAGGGGTATTGTGATAGTAAGGAGTGATGACTCACACCATTTGTCCCTTTGTTTCAAAAGATGTAGCTTTGCATTTTGGTTTGTTTACAGTAACAAAAAGAGAAATCTGTACTTGTCAGGCACTGAACGAAAATCTGGGGGTATTGCAGTATTCTGGCTGGTCAAGATCTGTTTTGGAAACGTCATTTCAGAAAAAAAATCAAAACTAATTATGCAGTATGCACTATTGTTTAAAAACCACAAAATACACTTTACTGTTATAATAATTAACATAATACGTAGAGTACTTGAATATTATGATACTGAATAGTGTTAGCAATTTTCTGTGCTTCAGGATAGACAAAGTTAATGCTTCTTTGTCATCTCAGAAAAATGCTGCTGTTCATCACTGAAATACTGTTCCTTGACTGCTGAAGAATTACAAATGTAGTAAGTATAAATACAAAATTTGACTTCATTTCCTGAATTTCCTAATGCATTAATAGTTAACTTTCATGTTTCAGTGTAATAGCCAGGAAGGACTCAACAGGAACAACCTGACAGACGTTTTCCTATGTAGCTCTTTCCCCATTCCTCCCTCTCCCCTCCCCTTCCCGTTCTTTTTTTTTTCCCCTTCTTTGGTTGTTTTTTTTTCCCAATGATGCAGATAGCTTTTGTGTTCACCATCAGGTCACCTCCAGAATAGGCAGCCAAGGCAGTAGTAGTATTTATGGGCTTGCTAGTTAACAACTACAGCACAACAGAATGCAAGAACCCTCAAAATGTTAGGAAATCAGTATTTGTTACTAGAGCATGAAACGTACAATCTGATTGTTTTTTAAAATATACATTATTAGTCGTATGTCCATATCATTCATACGTATTCCTCTAGTATCACTCATTTTCTTTAATAAACAATTTTTAAATTTAACATTCATTTCTGTGTCTTTTTTTTTTTACAGTACCATACAAGTGCCACCTCATTCTATATGGGTTCCTTTCTCTCATTCTCCTTCTCTCCCTAAAAAGACTTCCCCCAAATCTAAAACTTTTATTTCCCCCACATTGCTTTCTACCAAAAAAAGCCCCACAGTTAGACCACTGATCCCACCAGTCACAGAAATCTCTTTTTCTGGAACTCCCTCCGCATCTTCTGCTACAGATTCTCTCTCTGAAACTTCTGCCACACTGACTACTGAAACTCCTCTGTCTCCTACCGTTGTTACCACTACGCTTTCCTCTTCTGAGTCTCTTGCTCAACCTACCATGCCAACTTTTCCTTCCATAGCTTCGAATAAATTCGTCACTGCTTCCACACCTGAAACAAAATCTGTCACTAATGCTGCTTTCTCAATTAAATCTGATGCCGCACATCTTAGCAAGCCTATTACAGTAATTTCTCCTTCTGTAAGTTTCACTAAACATTCTGCAGTTTCCTCTTCAGAGCTTCCCTCCAAACCCCCAGTAGCAATCCCCCCCTTTGTGACTACCACCGAATCTGTTGCACAGATTCATCCGGCTACCGATTCAGCCCAATCTATTTCTGGTAACAAAAGTGTTACTCCAGCACCTATTCTTCCCCTTACTCCTTTCACAATAACTTTGATGCCTACTGTCAGTCCTGTCAACCATTCTGTCTCGGCTTCTCATCCTCGTTCTACTCCTGATGGCCACGGTAGCCTGCCTAGTGGGAGCACAGGTAAATATGACAAGTAAAATGGTTAATTTCCTTTTTAATTGGAATGCCACATACTGAATTTGCTTTTAAACTTCATTAAACAAGTTTATGTATGTGACCTGTGACCTTCCAGTTACTGTGAAAAGCCTGAGACACAACTCTCATGAGGTGCGTACTTATTTTAAAATACATTCCAATGCCTTCAACCGGGACGAGTGGTACCTCACCCAGCAAACTGGTTGGTAACTGTGACAGATAGGTTCTGTGCTGAGTTCCCAACAGGTACCTTTAGCAGAGAAAATTGAATCACAGAGCCAGTGTTGGTTGTTGGGTTTGTTTTTTTTTTTTTAACTAAGCTAGTATTTAAAATATTGCAACTCAGTGTTGGATCTTCCTTAAAATACTGTTACTGATTAGAAATATTCTTAGCGGCTGTGTATTTTTCTACGAAGATCATACGCATCTTCACAAGCTGCCCTGCAAATTGCTGATCTTACCTTGATTTTATTCTACTTTCAGGCATCCAGTGGCTAAAAATACAAAATAATAGATTATTTTAACACCACTAACGATCTGATGTGAGGAACTTTGTAATCAATAAAAGTGGAATTAATGCTGGCCATTTGAAGCGTTGCTTAAGGTTTTTCATAAGATTTAAAGTACTGCTATCTGCGGGGTAGCTGATAGGGAGAAAAAAGGATTCTGTCTCTCATAACATGTTGAGAGGCCTTACAGGTTGTGATAAGGTTTGCTGGTCAAGAGAACTGCTTAATTTTTCTGCTTCTCAAAGCTTACTTCATTTGTTGAACACAAGGTTTAAATAAATGCAAAACTTTTCTTTTGTCACAGGAAAGATACTGTCAGCTACGACACACACAACTTCTGCGTATACCACCATTAACGCCACCACAGCGGAGCAGATCGTGTCCAAAATAGAAAATGATTTAGCAGCTGGAAAAGTAGAGCCGAAAGACGTAGAAAGGATGGTTAGCGAGGTTAGCAAAGTCCTGACTGCTTCTCAACCATTACCACCCCGAATTTCTAACAGGTAGGTCATTCTGGCAATAGATTAAAGGTGTGTTGTATTGACTGCCTTGATAAGTTGGCTTCAGCAAGTTTCATTTTTCATAATCATAATCCAAAAGAGTATTTAATGTGCTTGAATGTATTTATACACAACAGAAGGAGTATCACTAGAGTTACCAGCTCTACTCTAACAAAATGCCATGGAAAACAGTGCATTTGTTTGTGTTGACACCACAATAAGTATGCAGAGTCTGCCCTATTTTACACTACGCTTGGATTGTTGCTTCATAACCACAACTTGCTTGGGAATTTTGGGTGTATGTGCTTGGTAATACTAAGGATCTCTTTTTCTTAACAGAATTATAAAACTGGTGGATTATATTGGCTTAAAACTGAACTTCTCAGCAACTTCTGCTGATTTTGCCTCCCCTTCCTTGGCTCTGGCAGTTGTCAAAACCAATGGCATGCGCTCCGACCAAATGTCTTTTGCTGTCCAGGACTCGGCGGATCTGCAGGTTAAACGCTCGTGATTCTAAATACTTACCAATTCTCAAATATTATTTTTCAGTATTTATGGTTTTACATTTATATGTAACATGAGTTTATTCTGTGTTTATGTCACAATTTCAGGTTCATGTTAGTTTCAGAGAAACAATAGTGTTTTGTGTAAATAAGCAACAAACTTAGCAGAAACTGGCATTCGACTAACAAGCTGTTAGGGTACAGGCAGAACGTCGGAACGGACAGAGTGCTTGGCAGAATAACTTTGCCTCAAAACCCCTGAATTATGAGTCACTTAATCACCCACCCTGACAGTGCTGAAATTTGTCAAGGAGTGTTGCCAGGCGGCTTCATCTGTCAGAAGGATATTAGTTGCAGTGGGTTCCAGGAGAGAAGTGTTCTCCTGCTTGGATATTGGCATTCATACGCTTGTCACTCCTGACTTGGTCTGTCCAAGAAAGAAGTGCTTAGAAAGTTTGGATCCACTTTGTCTCACTCAAAACCTCCCTCCTGGTTGAGGAAATAATAATTTGGACAGTACCAGCCTTGCAAGCTTAAGGAAGGAGAAATGGAAAGCTCTGGACAGATTTTTGGCATGTTCTGTCCTCCCAGAAGGAAATAGCTTAATCAGGTGTGAGCCATAAGCCATACTGGAACTATTCTGTGATACTGAAAATGATATGAAATGTTAACATTTGAATTCTGTTCTATTTTCTTAGCAGTATGTGGAGCATGAATGTGAGGTGACTGGGAGATGGTAGTGCTGATAGATAGATATTTGCTAAGTAATGATTTTCTGGAACTCTAATGGCACTGGCAATGAAATGCAGACAGTTTTCAACGGGTAATCATGTAGTTCAAATCAGAGCAATGGGAATGCTTTTGTGGAATTGAGCCAGTCTCCAAATAAATCCTGAGTTAAAACAGTGACCTCCGAAGTGGGGTGTGAGCACCTCAGGGTGTCCACATGACATTCCATTGGGCTGTGGGAAGAAAATATTTTAATAACACAAATAAATAAATATATAAAATGTTTAAAAATAAAAGTTTCATTTTTATCTCATCCTTTTAAAATTCCTGGGTTTGTTTGTGTTTTATAACGTGCACAGTACGTTAGTACACTAGTACATGCATATAACTTAGATATAATTGGGGGTGGGTGATCAAAAAAGTTTGGAGACCACTGGTCTAAACACATTGTTAGGGCACTGTGGAAAGCTTACGCTGTTATTCCTATTACAGCCATTTTTGGAATACACAGATTATTTCTGCTTCAGTTCTGCTGATGTTCCACATCTCTCGGGAACTCTGGGATAATTATATTTGTATGCAAAGTGATGTGCAACAAGAAAATGTTAGAGATTTTGTACTAAACGAAGCGCTCTGTCCTATAAGTATGGCACAGAAAAATGGGTGAAAATTCAGGTCCTTTTTTGTGTTAGATCGCTATGCTCGTGAGGTATCTGAATAGTAGTTTATCCAGTTTATTTTTGTCATTTTTGCAAGCATAAAGTTAGGGTTTATATTCTTACATTCTGCTTAACCTGCTGCACTTAAAAACCTGTTGACAAATCACGGCTATTTACTGTTTCTCTGAATTCTGACACACTTCATGTGGAGTATAAAAAATCTTTGCCTTTGGCAACTTCTGTGCTGTGAAGTGTTCATCTCCCTACACAGTTACATAGACCTACCCAGGTTGTTGCTCTTCACCTTTTTCAAATCCACCAGAGTGATGTGTTCTGTCCCTGTCAGCAAATGGGTAAAGCCAGAGCATTTTTAGTGGCAGGCAGACCTGCAATTAGTTGTGTCCTTTTTGGGCCTGCAAATGCTATTTGTTCGTTGAAGCAGTAGAGGAATGAGAGCGTGGCAGTGGGTTCCTGACCGTGGTTAGAGAGACATGTATCTTGAAGTTCTAAACTGAAAATAAGTCATAATTTAATTGTCCTTTAGTGACTGAAATGAAGCATAATCCTTGCATTTATTTTTCAGATCTCTCTAGGCATTAATGCAATTCATGATTTAAACAGTCTCGGCTCAATTATGCTTCCTTCATCACTGCTGACAAATTTACCCCCTGAAGAGTTGGACTTGGCTTCTAGAATTATATTCAACTTCTTTAAAAAGACCACTGTGTTCCAGGTATTTTTTGGATCCTCTGTTCATAAAGGTTTTAAACTCGAGCCTAGAGCAAAATAAAATATGAATGGACTTTTTTTTTCCCCCACAAAACACGTCAAAACTTCCTGACGTAAAATGTAACTGTTTCTGTCCAGCGCTCGTGCCGCACAATAACTGAGCTTGTGGGTGCTGTAATCTACTCTTGTTTTCTTTGAGATTTTAAAATCTGATTATTTTTTGTCATTTCAGGATCTGTCCTTGAAGAATGCATCTTTAATCAGCAATGTTATATCATCCAGTGTCGCTAACCTCACAGTTAGCAACTTAAAGGCAAATGTCACTGTCACTTTACAGAATATCAAACCTAATCAGGTATGATTTACATTTTGGCAGACTTCAAGTATGACGGTGTGGCCTCCATTGGAGTTGTTGTAGAAGAAATAACTGTACTAAGAATCCAGATCAGTTAGTGCTGCTTTACTGATGTGGCCATTTCATCTCTATCTGGATTTTAAAAATCACTCGTCTCTGCTAGTTCATCACCAGTATAAATATTTGTTCTCAGATGGTTTCAGGTGGTTTTGCTCTATCACTTATCCATCCAATTTTTAGCTTTACCACCTACCCTTCTCTTTTATTCTTCAAAGAATAAAAGCTCTTAGACAAAAGCCTGACACTGGGGGTTGTTACAGAGATGTTGCAGTCGTGACATTTGTAGGTGCTGCGTGGCCAGAAAGCAATAGAAGTCTTTTTTCTTTTTCTTAGGGGGAGTGTTGTTCCTTAAACAGAAACACAGGGCTCTGCCATCTGGAAGTATTAGGGCTCATATACAGCATCTCTTTCCTAAGTGAGCATGAAGGCTTGAAATCTTCTATCCCATATCAAAAGATTTTAAAATACTAAGATATAATAAACTGAAAAACTAGGGATTCCACTGATGTACACGAGGGTTTTTTCTAGAGCTGGCTTAGTGTAGTCTTTACTTGTACTTACGTAATACTGAGTTTTGAGCTATAACTGTAGGAGTGTTAGTCTTCGTAGCCGTATAGTGCATTACTGCTGCTGTTTTTAGGACTTTCACATGCATGTGTGAAATCTATGTGTAAGCCTTTAGCAGCATCATAATATAAAGCGACCGAATGTTGGCAAATGTAAGAGGTTTTCCTTTTCTGTGCGGTCATTTTCTTGATACGTAGAAAATCAGGAAGGGTGAGAAATCCCAAGAATCTGTATGGTGTGGGAAGACATTGAAACAGCATTCATAATGTTCTACCAGGGACAGAATCTTAGCATAAGCGTGAGAGCTAGCTCCTGTATGGTGACTCCAGATCTGTTCAGCATACTTTCACGTGCATGTTGCAGTGTGAATCCTTTCTGTGCACCCCAATTAGTTTTGTGTTCATGGAAAACGTGTATTTGCTGTATACAGTATTTATTCTTACCTGCATTTTGTAGGAAATTGCTAATTCGCTTGATCGTAAACTCGTAGTATAGTAAAAGTTTTTGTTTTGTGGTTTTTTTTCCCCCCCCTCCCCAACAGGATAATGCAACAGTCAGATGTGTTTTTTGGGACTTCAATAAAAATGGTAAGTACTTGATATCACCCAAGATAGCGTGCTGGTTTAGCTACGTTAACTCCTGTTAATGTACGTACAGCCTTTTTGCAAATAACGAAGCTCTTCCCTTTAACAGGTGGACATGGAGGCTGGTCTCAGGAGGGTTGCACAGTTAAAGAAAGTAGGGTGAATGAAACAGTCTGTTCATGCAACCACCTTACGAGCTTTGCTGTTTTGATGGTAAGTATTTTGAAATTTATGCAATAACCCTAATTCAAGAAAACATTTAAGCTTGTGTTACCTTAAGCAAATGAGGATGCAGTAAGCACACACCACCTATGAAATGCTACTCAGGTTCTATTCACTTCAGTGTTAGTACATAGAGCCGTAAAATTACTCACGTGCTTAAGCTGCTTGTTGAATGGGAGCCCATGAGTTGTATTGAAGTAAAAAATTCCTTAAGTGCTTATTAAACTGCAGCTTTTACATTTAGGCAGTTGTATGTTGTAGGAAATAAAAATTAGGGTAAATCAAATTAAACCAGGTTTTTAATTAAATGGGATTTCACAATTAGAGTCGTAAAATATCTCAAGTTGGAAGGACCCATAAGGATCATCGAGTCCAACTCTGCTCCTTGCATGACTAGACTAGGTCTTCTGTTTTTCAGTTAACCTTTACAAGTTCCATGATTAAAAGAACTATTCCTTTTTTTTATTTCAGAGGGAAAGGTGCATTCTGGGTTTTTTATCTTTTTCCATTTAATAAACATGTTATCTGAAATTAAATTCTGTTTCCATTTTAGAACTTGTATGGAAATACTCCTCTGAATCCCACACAAGAATTGGTGCTGACTTTTATATCCTACATAGGCTGTGGCCTCTCGGCAATTTTTCTTTCTATTACCCTTGTGACCTACATAGCCTTTGAGTAAGTACCTCTTCAAATAAGCTGCCGTTACTCTTCAGTTATGGTTGCTTGTAGTCTTCGCTGCAAAGTCCCTTCCAATAGTTACGGATTCTGTCTCCGTTAATAATGCACAGCTTTGTCCAGTTCAGCCGGAGGGTGTTGATTCGGTCTTCAGCACCGTTAATCTTGCGGACAAGTGAATTAATCATGAGGCTTTATGGAGTAAAAGACGTAGCACTCTTAAACACATTCCTTCACACTGCTATTATGAGAATACGTTATAAAATAGTTTAGATACAGCGTATGTGGAGCAGTGGGGAATGATAGTATTTCTAAACAAATTTGTATTCTTTGTTGTTTGTCGGAACATTTTCATATGTTCGAGCCTTGACGCCTGAATCCTCCATGCTCTTTTGGAAATCCTCCTCGAAGTTATTTGGCACACTTCTCTCATTAACCTGCCATCAGGGATTTATTTGTCAAGGTTTTGGAAGCCCAGTCAAAAGCCTCATCTAGCTTAGCAATAAGGAGCAGTCACATTTTGGTTTTTGGAAGCACTGCGACAAGGGGAAAACCAATGTACAGTGGAGGGGAAAAAAAAGATGATAAGGATACTAAACCTAAGAATCCAAGTTACTGTTTGCATTTATGTAACCTCATTATAACAAGTTTTATTCATATAGACCATTAATTTGGGAATCTTTTGCAAATTACTCTCTCCATGTAAAAATGCAGTATATGAAGCATTACATATGAATGAAAATATATCCAAATAATATTTTTTTATCAACATTTGTGCACTAATGGCTAGAAGAGAGGAAGTAAGCCAGGGATCCATGGACAACCAATGTCATCTCACCAATTTGCTTTTTTAGGAAAATCCGGAGAGACTACCCCTCCAAAATCCTTATTCAGCTGTGTGCTGCATTGCTTCTACTCAACTTAGTTTTCCTCCTTGACTCCTGGATCGCGCTGTATGATACACGAGGCCTATGCATTGCAGTTGCAGTATTCCTTCACTATTTCCTCTTGGTTTCCTTCACCTGGATGGGCCTAGAAGCTTTCCACATGTACCTGGCCCTTGTGAAAGTCTTTAATACCTATGTACGGAAATACATCCTTAAATTTTGTGTTGTTGGTTGGGGTATGTATTTTTTATTGTTTGGTTTGGTTTTTTCTTTTTTCCCTTATGGATGCTAAATAGATAAACCCTCCTATGAAGTATTTCAGTGAATGTGACACCTTTCCAAAATGAAAATGAAGCAGTCATGAAATGTTACGACCTTGCAGTATTCATTACCAGTAAACCTGCTCCTATATATTCCACCTTTCAGAGGTAGGTAACTCCCCCCTAGCTGCAGAAGAGAGGCTGCTGCGATGCAAATTGATAATGAATTTTCCTTGTGGAAGTATAATAGAACCAACTTGGAATGTGAATACTTACATTTACCAGACGGGTGGCATCAGTTCTCTTTTGAAAAATGCCCCTAAGTATGTACGTTCATTTTCTGGGGTAGCACGGTTGCTAACTAAAAGCAGCAAAAGGGATAAAAAGTGGATAAAGGAGGAAGGCATTCAGGACCCGATTATCCTCTCTGGCCACCTAAGTAAACATGAGTGAAGGCACTAAAATGCATAGAACTCTTTTCTTAAAGCAGATGTAAGAAAGAAAATCAAATCAGGTATCCTGATTTTGTGTTTTAAATCCATTTGTGTTATTTGTTGCCTTATTCAGGAAGGTTTGGAGCTAGCTGTGAAGAACTCCTCTTATTTCTTTGCAAGTTATGCTCCTGAGCAGTTGGAGTGCACCAGGTTTTGGGTTCTTTCAGACAGCTAGGAGCCCACAGAATTCAACAGAGTAATTTCAGAAACAGGCCGTAGATTTCACAGCAAAATATAAGAGTTCCTGGTCATCGTAATAGTCTTTGTCATGATCTTCACTTGTGTGTTCGCTTACAATCTTTTAGGGTTACCAGCAGTAGTTGTGTCCATTGTGTTGGCAGTATCACCAGATAATTACGGACTTATAACCACTGGAAAAGTTTCCATCAACAGACCAGATGAATTGTGAGTTAAAGGGAGGCACTTTTTGTTTGGGGTGGGTGGGAGGTCCTACGAAATTGGTTTTCTTTGAAGTGAAGGTGGGGAAGAGAAGGAAGCAATGGGAGAGCTTTGAAGTGTGTAGCTGTACAGTACGTCATGTGTTTGGTGGTGATGGCCAGTAGGAAAGCTCTTACCCTTTGGCCAAAAAAAAAAAAAAATTACTTTTCAGTAAAGAGGAAAAATGGTTTGCATGTGCAGCAAACTGTGCCTTCATCTCAAGTTTAGTTTCCTTAATTTCTGTTTCTGGTAATGGTTGACAGCCTGTCCTTGTCTTCTAGCTGCTGGATTAAAAATAGAATTGTCTTCTACGTTACTGCTGTGGGATACTTCTGCCTGATATTCCTGATCAATATCAGCATGTTCATTGTTGTGCTGATCCAGCTCTGTCGTATCAAAAAGAAAAAACAACTTGGTGCTCAAAGAAAAACCAGTATTCAAGACCTTAGGAGTGTTGCTGGCCTCACATTCTTGCTGGGAATTACTTGGGGGTTTGCTTTCTTCACAGTAAATGAGGTATTTACTTACCTCTTTACCATTTTCAACACTTTGCAAGGTAAGTTTCTCCTTGGTGTGACAGTCTGTCACGTACAATGTAACGAACAACAGATTTTGGAAATGGCATTTTCTTCGTTCAGCAGCAAAGAAGTAATTTTGATAACGTGCTTTTAACGTGTTAATTAAATTACAGATGATACTGCTTTGCTGTAATCTGAAGTTACAGCTTTGTTACAGTAAGGTGTGGGAAAGCTGGCTACTATCTGCGTGTACAGTGTATTTATATCTACACCTGCAGTCATTTAAAAAACGTATGCAAACCAGACACCACTGGACGGGACTGTAGTTCTCTGGTCAACCGAGCAACTGTAAACAGTCAGTCACTCTGCGTGTTCATCTTAGGGAAAATGGTACGATTTCTCCACTTACCCTAAGGCTTTGGGGTGAGGTGTGCCGTTCAGCGAAGGGCCGTTGGACGGGCACGGCTGCAGTGTCTAAAAGTTAGTGGTCTAACTCTTGAGCGTGGCCTTCAGTACCTGAGAACACATAGGAAGTGGTTACAAAGGCGTGCGGCTTTGCAAAGGCCGGGGTGCGACGGGGCATATGCAAGAGCAGCGTTCCAGAGGCTGCAGAAACGTTACAGGGGGATGATGACGGTGGGCATTTCAGCAGGGAAATTAGGTCCCACCCTGTGTCACTGAGAAGTGAACGAGAAGCAGACAACGAGTGTAACGTGCCCCTGGCAAGAGACAGGGACGAGCCCCATCCCTTCTAGAAAATATGTGGCTTTGTACCCCTTTTTGTGGTAAAAGGGGTGCCATTTGTTATTATTTTAGATATGAGTTATTTTCTTTGGATGAACGCTCAGAATTTTGTAGCCTTACTGGTCCTGTAACAGCTGATGGGAACAGGGTGGCTGCTAATGAAAGGTGGGACAGCGTCACACCGTGTGCTAACAGCGGCACAGCCTGAGAGCATCGTATCATACCTTCTGCTTGATACTGCTTTGAGTTCTCTTCCAAAAGAATTCAGTAAATTCCAGGATCCACAGAGTTTTTCCCTTCTCATTTGGTAGAAGGAAACTTTATGTGCTTTGTGGATTCGGTTGTATTTGTTGTTCTGGCGTTTGTATGATTCCTCTCATCTGTGCAAGGGAAAGGTACTCGTCAGTGTTCCGAGTTGTAAACACCAGAGAAGGATGTCATTGCTTTTAATTAGAAACTTAAAGGAAATGAAAGAGAACCAAGACATCATTCATTAAGGAGTAGCAAAATCAGTTTTGCAACATTCTCTAATGTTCTTGCTTTGCAGGGTTCTTCATTTTTATCTTCTACTGTGTAACGAAGGAGAATGTCCGTAAACAGTGGAGAAGATATCTCTGTTGTGGGAAGTTCAGGCTGGCTGAGAACTCTGGTAAATATGAATATATATA